CATGCACAAATTGTTTATATAACCTGAAATATTCTCTCTAAGATATGTTATTGTATCATAGGTACATATAAAATATTTTTGCTATTTAACAAATACATATTACTAACTCTTACTTCTATTTAATAAGTAAAGTTGTCTTTACTAGTTTGCAGAAAAAAATATGATCACAAGAGCTCTGGATGATACGTTTAGTGTTAGAGTATTGGCCCAAGCACCAAGGATTGTAAGTTTGATTCCTGGTCAAGGTCATGTACCTGGGTGGCTGACTTGATCCCTGGCATGCAGGAGGCAGCCAGTTTCCCAGCCAATCTCTTTCTATCTCTCTCCATAAAAGTGAATGGAAGAGTATGGTTAGTCCAGTAATTGATCTATATTGACATCCATATTGAATGGGTATTTGGACTATGATAAAGGTTAACTGGCTCAATAAATGATGAAAAATGACTATTGATTTGCAAAAACGTTATTTTTATCCTTACCTCACATCAATTTAACTCTACCCTGAATTTTCAAAGATTTACATGCAGAAAATAAAAACTATATATATTCTAGAAGATCATGAGAATGAGTATCTTTATAACTCTTGAGTGGAATGGGTCTTTTCACATAAAACAAAATTTAAGATGACACTGGAGTCTGAAGGACAGAATAGATCTTGCAGTAAACCGAGCCTATGAGAGGAAGCACAAGCTGAAACACAATTTCCCAGAATTAAGAGAAATATAATCTTATAGCCATTTGTGAAAAATAATGAAAGATAAGAATGCAAACAATGTTTGTAGTTACTATTTCATGGAAGGGAGAGTTAAGAACAAAAGAAGCAAATATGAAACTTCTAATATTGAAAGAAAGCCTCCCCAAAGACTTGAGTTAACAGAACAATAGAGCATGCAGAATCCATACAAACCAATAAAATACCATGTCCAAGGTCATACAACTATCAGCTGGTAGAGCTAGGCTTTGAATCCAGACCTATCTCATCCTCAAGCTCATGTTCTTCCTCCCACACACGTGTCAACTAGTCATCAAAGGGAACCTCTCTGCAGGCAGTATGGTACCCTGGAGTGCATCCAGATCAGAACAGGAACATTATTGGAAAACCTGGTGATATTATAATAAAGTCTGGAATGTAGTTAATACTAACATGGCAATGTTAATCTCTTAGTTTTGATAATTATATAGTTATGTTCAGATGTTAAACACTACAAAACTGGTTAAAGGGTATGCAGGTGTGCAACTTTACTGAAAGTCTAAAATCATTCCCAAGTAAAAAGTATGTTAAAAAAAATAAAACAAATACCAAAAGAATGGTGCCTTGGGTACTATTCCTAGAACATATAAGTAAAGAGATTCATTGCATTAAGTCAAATTATGATAAAGGCATGCTTTGTATTAAAGACATTATTTATAACAGGTTCATTAATTATAACAGGTTTAATGGTTTTAAAAATAACAACAATAGGTCCCCAGGTTACGTTGGAGATCCGTTCCTACAGCTCAACGTAATGCGATTTTCGCCGTAAGTCGCAACCCACCTACATAAGCACCTAGGTCACTCACATGGAGCACATACACAGCAGTAATGAAGTGAAACAGTAAAAACAATTTAATAGAAAGATTCCTGACCTTTACTCATGCTAACTAAATAATAAAAAACAGAAAGTACATATACATACGTCGAAATGACAGAACATTTTTTTTAAAATAAATAAATGGGAGATGGCGACATAACCATGAAAGGACATATGTCAAGTCTGACATAACCCAAGGACTGCCTGTACCTGCCTCAATTGCATAACTTTTTTGAAAATATTGCTTAAATAACGTTTGAACACCATTTCTCTTTTTGTGTGGGTCAAAATATAGAATGCTATATATATAGTAGTCTTTTAAAACAAGAGGTGATCTCGTTGTTATGGACGTGACTACATTCCTGGGCTTGGAACAGCCAGAATTAAATTTGGAGGATTAATAGAACTGCCTGATTTAAGGAGTTGTCAGGTGAAAGAACAGGACTTCAGAAATAAATGAATCCTAAGAGCAAAAAAGCTCAAGCCTATAATTAAGTAGAAAACTCAGGGGGATTTGACTAGTAGGTAAGGAAAGAGGGGAAAATATTAAAAAACAAACAGAATAAAGGGCATTAAAGAAAATGAGGGCTTATGGTGTCTCTATGGAATGGAAGTGTGATAAATTATGAAAGGGGAAATAACAGTGATACGAACAGTGGTAATTCCAATCATATCACAGCCTTCCAAAGGCTCCAGTTACCCAGAGCAGGAACCAGGGAAGCTCGGGGTCACTGGTGACTTACCCTCAGCCCCATCCCTTCTCTGACATCATCTTCTCCTGTTTGCCCTCTCCCTCTACCCACCATGCACCCCCCCTCACCCCACCCTGGCCATCCTGTCCCATGCTTCCTCAGGCAGCAGCCTTTGCGCTTGCTCATCTTTGCCTGGAATGCTCCTCCTGGAAGGGGGTGCATGGTTCACTCCCTCACCCACTTTGATTTTTGATCAAATACTAACTTTTCAGTGATTTACTACTGAAATGAACATAGCTATGGCCTAAACTTCCCACGTCCCCTACCTTGGTATTATTTCTCATGGCTATTCCCACCATCCAACATTCTAATTCCATGGAATGTCTGTTTCCACAACTGCTAGAATGTAAATGCTCAGACTCTTTCCTGTTTGTGTGTTTTTTATCACCACTGGTTCCCCAGTGCCTAGAATGTTACTGGACACATAAATCAATCAATGCATAGACGTGACTCTTTCATTACCGCCATTAAATTAAGAGTAATAAAACACCGAAACTTTTCCAAAGTTATTTTACAGCAATCAAAGTTACATTTTGTCTATATTTTCTGGGTATTTTCCACACTGAACAATTACTTCTATAATGTTTTAAAAGAAAGTTTTGTCTTGTAAAAGACAAGAGAGTTAATCTGGGATTTCATCTCCAGCCCATTCACTGTCAAAGTCAGAAAGATATACTCTTCAGAGTCTTGTTCTTTTTATGAGCTTAACTATTATTTAGTTGTTATCAGAAAGAGCTCACCATCAAACAAACTTTCTATGAATAAAATGTCCAGTGGCATGATCCACGAAGCTGATGGGACCATGGATCATACAATTCCAACTCCTAGTTTTAAAAATGAAGCAACCGAGACCTGAGAAAGCCTTCCTCGCTGTCAGTGGAGCACAGCTGAGGAGTAGGGACACGCCCTGAGCAAAAGAGTGAAATGCTGAGGAATGTCCTAGCCCTCAACCTTTGGCAGACAAACACCAGACTGAAGGTTTTCAGTTTACCATTAGACTAAACCTTCATTTTCTTCAACTTATTTCCAACTCATTGCTCTAAAAAGCTTGTGAGCAGATGCTTCATATTATTTGAACATTCACGGTCCTCTTTGCGTTAAGATCAGCAAACCACATGATCCCATGAGTGTTTTAGCTGCTCCACGGCCAACGCGCCTTCCAGGGCCACTCACATGCAGCCCCTTGCTGCAGCCCTTTGCTATCCCTCTTCAGAGAAGTGTGAGGCCAGCATATTTTTAAAATCTTACTCTTTTCAGTGGCTTGATTATCAATTAACTCTCATGAAATCAAATGGCAGCAGCTTTCAGGATCTAAAAATGCATCACTTCATTTTTCAAAAAGAGCTAATTCTTTTGCTGAAAAATTGTACATGTGTTATTGTATTGTCAGAAGTGGGGAGAAATCTGGCATGAAATTTCCCCGCTCAGAGGTAGCAGCAGCAGTTAATCCCCATATGCACATGGGTCACCAGACAGCTATCTCCGATGTTAGAGTAGAATACAGGCACATACTCTGGCAAAAACCACCCATAAAATGAAGTTGAAATGGACCAAAACAACCACACTGACTTTTAGTACAATTCAGAACACAGTTTTCTAAATGACACATGCTGAAAAGGATAGGGAGAGATGCCCTTTAAACAGCAAAAAGAAAAGAATTATATACAATGATATTAGCAAACATCTTAGTGTCCCTTAGGGTGGTTTGTCTTTGAGGTCTAAAGAACTGAGATGCTTGACTCACGTTGAACTGTCCTTATCTGAAAATCTAAGATTGCTCATTTATGGATATTGAGCTCACAGCTGGAAGCCTGGACATTCAGTAGACCAAGAAAATGAAGCCTTATTACCATGTGAACATTTGAACATCCTCTTCAAAGCCCAAATAGTTATTTTTCATAATCTCTTTGTCTCTCCCTTACTTTCTCTCTCTCTCTCTCTCTCTCTCTCTCTCTCTCTCTCTCTCTCTCTCTCTCTCTCTCATTCTCCTCTCTGTAAATGGCAGAGTTGTCCATACTAAATTATAAACACATTATGTACAAATACAGCATTCATTTTGCTGCAAGCAAATATTTTCTTAGCTGTCCTTCATGAGACAAAACGCTTTTCAAACCAGGGACCTTTGGAGACCGGGGTTCAGGATCAGGGTGGGGGTCTTTGGAGGGAATGCAGGATCAAGTGGAGGCTTTGGAGGGGGTGCAGGATCAGGGTGGGGGTCTTTAGAAGGGGATGCAGGATCAGGGTGGGGGTCTTTAGAAGGGGGTGCAGGATCAGGGTGGGGGTCTTTAAAAGGGGGTACAGGATCAGGGTGGAGTCTTTGGAAGGGGTGCAGGATCAGGGTGGGAGTCTTTGGAAGGGGTGCAGGATCAGGTGGAGGTCTTTGGAAGGGGGTGCAGGATCAGGGGGGGCTTTGGAAGGGGGTGCAGGATCAGGGTGGGGGGTCTTTAGAAGGGGGTGAAGGATCAGGGTGGGGGTCTTTAGAAGGGGTGCAGGATCAAGTGGAGGCCTTTGGAGGGGGTGCAGATCAGGTGGAGGCTTTGGAAGGGGGTGCAGGATCAGGGTGGGGGCTTTGGAAGGGGGAGCAGGATCAGGGTGGGTGCCTTTGGGGGGGGTGCAGGGTCAGGATGGAGGTCTTTGGAAAGGGGTGCAGGATCAGGGCAAACCAGCCAGGACTTACCATGGCGCCCTCACTTCTCCTTTCGGCAACTTCTCGCTGCAGTCGGGCCACAGCCAGTTTCTCCCTGGAGAGACAGAGGGCAGGGTTACTTGGCCATTCTCCTGGGGTGAGCGGTGCATTGCAAGGCTCAGAACATTCTTTTGAGGCCTCAGAGGAACTCCTTCCTTGGTTTAGCTCACTTCCTCCACTACATTTTCTATAAATATTTAAAGTGAGTGGTCATTAGTGCATTGTTTTCATTGAGTGTCATGAAAGAGATTTATTTTTATTTTTTTGCCTAGGATTCAAAAATAGCCAAAGAAATGTTGAACAAAACTTTAAGTTCATTAAATTATAACACATTTGTAAATAAATTTTCTGTGTCCTCTCTGTACAAACTTTGCTCATATATATTTTTAATTTTCTTATATCTTTGTTGCTTTATATTGATACTGAATTTTAAAAAGCAAACAAAAAGTAACTGTATCATTATTGAAATATAAGAGAAAATCATTTGCAGACTTGTTATGTATTAGGCACCTGTGAAAACTTTTACTTGATCTTATATGAGCCTGATAATAGTACATTTTATTATCCCCACTTTATAGATGTGGAAACAGAGGCTCAGCGAAGCTAAGTAACAAGCCAAGCCCCCCCTGGTATGTAGTATATTAGGATCAAAATTAGGTTTTCCTTACTTCAAAGGCTAATAAAATTTTTACATATCGTTTTTCAGGAGCCAGGAAAAATTCTGCATATAGTTTTTCAGGATCTAGGAAATATGTAGAAAGAAAAATCAGATTATTTATTTTAGTATTCTTTATTTTACAAAGGGGTTCTTTTCGTATCTTTTATAATTGTAATTCTGATTTCACTTCCAAAAAAGCTAATATCCCAAGGGATTTTAAGAATACTTTAAAAAGATAGATATCTGCATTTTGGACATCTTTTCAATTATTCTTTAAAAATGTTGATAAATGACAAAAAGGGTGAGTAAGCTTTTCCAGTAATCCTCAGATTTTAGTATTCACAAGGGGGTGCAGGCTGAGGGCAGAGAACTTTGGAAGGGGGTGCAGAATCAGGATAGATTCAGCAATGAGTGCTGAAACGTTTCTGCTTGTCACTTAAACGTTTCTATTTCTATGAAGATGTTAAACTACTAGTATTTGAATAATATTACATTCCTCAGCTTTCCCTCTATCTGGGATCAGCTAACTGCATTGATGAAGCAACTCAATTCTCAGATAATGAGAGTGTTTCTCCTCTCCTAACTGAACCTTTGAAATGCCCATGACTGCCAGAAAGGCAGGGGCTGGGTTCTGGCCAAGATGGCAGTGCGGGTAAATGTGGTCCTCAAGTTCTCCCACAACCACATCAAAATTACAACTAAACTACGGAACCATCATTCAGAACCTTGTGAAATCTAGCTGAACAGAAGTCTTACAACTAAAGATATAAAGAAGCCACATCGAGAATGAAAAGAGGGGTAGAGAGGTGGAACAGGCTAGTCCCACACCCATGTACAAAATATCCAGAGGGATATGTCAACTGCAGAGGTTCCTCTTGAGGATCGAGAGGATCCAGCCCACATCAACCCCTAACCCCATAATACAATCAATTAATTTTAAATTTAAAATTTAAAAGTTTATTTGTAATGGTATCACAAACAAAATACTTTAACTTTTATTTCACAGATACACTGAAAGCTAGAAAACACTGCTTAGAACAATTAAAGGAATACACACACACACACATACACACACAGACACACACACACCAAATTCATGAGTCAGAAGGCTTAATATCATGTCAAATTTTATATCAAATTAATCTATAAATTCTCTCTCACTGGGAAGTATACCTTCACCCCAAAAAATAAAGAGGAAGCAATGAGTAGCAGGTAACAAACAGCTCTGTAGGAATCCAGCTACGATGCTGGACAAACAGCTATGTAGGAATTTAGAGAACCAAGAGTCTCCAGTGGATGATTCTCAGAAAAAACAAAGCTGTTAAAAAGTAAATTAACCTCTGTGTTTGTAATTACTGAGCGAACTTTTAGACTTTTAATGGAAAAGTCTTTTAAGAACCTGGGATTGGAATATGAAAATCTAAGCCAATGGCAATTAATAACTCTTGGAAAGAGTGAAGTTATTCCAGAAATGCAAAACTAGAATTTTATTACAATCAACTGTGAACATTACTTACTTAAATTTTATTATTATAATTAATTAATTTAACGAATTAAATTACAACAATGAAAACATTTGTAGAAGGGAAGTGTGAGAGATAGGTGGTATAGAAGCACTAAATCCTTATTTTCATACTAGGAAGACAATTTATAATGCCAAAAGTGATAAAATCTAGAAATAAAACACAGATATATTTTGTAGATATAAGAATGAAAAATACAGAAGATAGAGCTAGCACATGGAAAGTGGTTTGCAGGGCAAAGATCTGGAGGTAGGGAAAGAGGGGTGGAGTACAAACTTATAAATACTGTGTACATTTATTACTTTGATTAAAAACTTTTCCAAAATATGTATTTTTAAACTGGTTGGATCACTTTCTTTTATTTTTACTAAAATCATTATGAGAGAGAGAGAGAGCGCGCGGGTGCAAGTGCGTGCTGGAGATGAAGATGAGAGATAAGGATGGAGATGGGGATGGGGATGGGGATGGGGATGAGGATGGGGATGGAGATGGAGGTGGGGATGGAGATGGGGATGAGGGTGGGGATGGGGATGGGGATGGAGGTGGGGATGGGGCTGGGGATGAGGGTGGGGATGGGGATGGGGATGGGAATGGGGATGGGGATGGGGATGGGGATGGGGATGAGAGAGGAAGAAAGAGCGACTTCATCAGATTCCTTACAAACTGAATACTCAGCACCAACTGATTCACTGCCATGATCCTGAACAAATGACCCACCGGAAAGCTTTAGATTTAAGAAAATTAAGGACTGGCAATAAGCATCGAGGAGCCTTCACATAAATATTTTAAAGTACATACTGTAAGCAATTAACATTGTGCAGTGATATGTTAAATTGAAGATTTTTAGCTTTTGTACTTTTTTCATTAAAATGTTACATATAAAGATTAAGAAACCACAAGTGCACAGCTTGATGAATAACCGTGATGTGAACTTGCCCTAGTCCCCACCACCTAAGTAAACCACTAGCACATTACCGGAGCCCAGAGCTCCTATGACGCATGTGACGACACTAAGGTTAGGATGATAACCCCTCACCTCAGCCCTGGCTTCCTCTGTGTACTGAGTACAGACCCATGTAACTCTGGTCTAAACTATCTTCACCTCAATTGTTTATTCAGTGATATGTTTGCCTCCAAACATAATAGTAGCAGCTAAAAACACAAAAATTGAGCCTATTTGATTTGGCTCAATGGATAGAGCGTTGGCCTGTAACTGAAGGGTCATGGGTTTGATTACCAGTCAGGGCACATGTCCGGATTTTGGGCTCAATCCCCAGTGGGGGCATGCAGGAAGCAGCCAATCAATGATTCTTTCTCCTCATTGTTTCCATCTCTCTCCCTCTCCCTTCCTCTCTCTAAGATCAACAACAACAACAACAACAACAAAAAATTAAAAAGTAATAATAAAAAAAGCTCATTAATATACTTTTGTGCATGGTTAGTTGTGTAGTTAATACCTCATAGCTGCTTTCCTGAATGCTGAGATCATTAATATTTAGTTCATCTCTGCAACACCTACTAAGGGCCACTGTGTAGGAACAAAAGAAATGTTGGTGATTTTCTAAATAAGGAATCAGTCACACAACCAAGTACCAATGGCCTACTATAATAATAATACCACTTTGCATTTACATGATGTACAATATGCATGGTACATGGTATACAGCACATACACTTAAATACACAAGGATACCCACAGGGTACCTTCTAGTTCTGGTGGCCACAAAAGCTTTTTTACGTACATTTAAAATTATGAAAAGTATAGCCTCCACAGGTGATCAGGTAAAAAGTAAGCTTCAACAATGTAAATTTCTGTGTAAGAATGTTGAATAGGGGGCTAATAGAATAGCAATAGTCGAATATTTGAGGAAGGACCCCTATACACCCTGAAAAATTACTGAGGTCCCAAAGAGCTTAAGTTTATGTGAGTTATATCTATTGATGAAACAGATAGTTTTAAAAATATACAATAATTCATTAAAAATAAAAATAATAACAAACTCATATTCACACAAGTAAGACATTTTGATGAAAAAAATAAGCCTATATTCCAAAACAAAAATAAATGTAATGAGAAGAATGGAACTGCTTTAAAATTTTGCAAATATTCTTGAAGTCTGGCCTAAAAGAAGAAAGTGAGATTCTCAAACCTGCTTCTGCATTCAACGTACTGTGATGGCACCCCGTGGAGTCTGCAGGAAACTCCACTGAATTCCCATGTAAGAATGTGAGTGGAAAATGCAAATAACACCTTATTGTGGTTACAAAAGTAATTCTGAAGTCGCAGGTTCCTTGAAAGGCTCTCGGAAGTAGCCAGGACCCCAGGACCACACTCTGAGAATTCTGCCCAGAAGATACAGACCTATAATAGAAATGGAGGAATGTTCTGAAAAATTTCCTGGCATCATCATTCATTGTTCCTGATGGCTGAATCTTCAGAGAAAGATTATATGTGTGTGTGTGTGTGTGTGTGTGTCTCCTATATAATAAAGGGCTAATATGCAAATTGGCCAAATAGTGGAACAACCAGTCACTATGACACACACTGATCACCAGGGGGCAGACGCCTCTCCTACCTCTGTGGCAGTGCTAAGGATGTTTGCCTGCTGTCAGCCAGACATCCCCTGAGGGCTCCCAGACTATGAGAGGGCACAAGCCAGGCTGAGGGATTCCTCCCCGACAAGTGCATGAATTTCGTGCACCAGGCCTCTACATACATTTTTATATATAGATGTGTGTGTGTGTGTGTGTGTGTATGTGTGTGTGTATGCTAATGGCATGATAACTTTTTACAAGAGAAATTTAGCATAAAGAAGACTTTCTAGAAACACCGAGAATCTAATCTTAGCACGATCTTCCTTCAACAACTAGTGC